GCCGCCGTTGCCCTTTCCTCTTCCACTCCCTTCCTTAGACTCTCCATCTCTGCCATCACCTTCGCCTTCTCTACTTCCAACTCCCTCACGAGCCTCCTCTTCTCCTCCTCTGCTTTAGCGCGCTCATTCTCTAACTCCTTCAACAGATCTCCAAATCTGGCATCTGCCTCATCTTTTTGCCTGACCAGCTCTTCATTGCTGCTCATGGCTTCTTCATGCCACTCGACCGCAACGGCGCAGGCTCTTTCAGACTCCACCAACTTTTTCTGTTCGCCAGCCAGTTGGAACTCGAGCGACACGACCTTACGGCGTGTGTCCTCTAGCTCCAACTTGACTGCTTGCAGCTCAGCATGGGCAGTCTTCCAGTCGACACTCTCCTTCTTCAACTTGGCCAACTGGGCCTTGGCCTCTTCAGCTCTTAGCTTGGCAGCCCCTGCTTTCCTTAGAAGGGCCCCTGCCAAGGTGGTTACCTCCATTTGGGCGGAGCATAACCTCCTCAGCAAGTCAGCCTCATTGAATTCGAAGGTCGAGCGCAGAGCTGTCTCCTCCACAATCTTCACCAAGCGGTCTGCCCCGCCCTGGCTGGGCTTTCTTCTCCCTCCAACCTTCCAGCTACTGCGCGAGCGTGATAGATTGCCGTGGCCAGACGGACCCCTCCTTCCTGGGGTGCAGGGCCCCTTTGGGTCTGCTCCCTCCTGCTCGGCTCAGCCTCAGTCAAACCAACTCCTACTTGCACTGTTGGGGCAGTCTCCACAACCTCCAGTGTTGGGGTGACCCCCACCACCTTTGGGGTATCCTTGGCCACAGGGGCCTCCACCTCCGCTGGGGCCACCTTAGCCCTCTTGGCCCCAAACTCATCTGCAGCTCCCTTTGGGGCACTCCTCTTCTTTTTCTTCTTCTTCTTCAGAGCCTCCACCTCCTTTTTGGCCTGTTCTTTTACAGGATCTACTGGGGGGCGGTCGTGGCTCAAAACTGCTTAAGTCCTTCCCCCCTAGCGGCCTTGGGCGCGGTCGAATCCTCTCTCGCGCGATCGGTTGAGGCGGTCGGTCTCCTCGCGCTTCCTTCAACTTCGTGGCTTTGGCAAGTATGGCCTGATCCTCTGCCTCCTGAACTTCTCTTCTCGCCTCCAATTCTACTCGGTCGAGGTCCCCACCCCTCGGCTGTGGTCCCAACCCCGCCTCAAACAATGCGGACAGTTGAACAAGCTCGTCCCATTTGGCCTTCTCTCTCTCCCTCCACTCCTTCACCCTCTCTTCCGCCGCTGCCCCCTATCTTGGCTCCATCGACCTAATGGGCACCTTCCAGATGGTGCGCACCCCCAGTCCCCCATTGGCAGACACATAGAACCACCGTGGCCGCCACCCCTTGATCGATGTCGGCAGCCCCGCCACCAATCCCCTCCCCATCACTGCCTGTAGGGTGACCCACGTCTCTTGCTGCCCCGAAGCCTTATAACAGGAAAAGAACTCGTCTACCGCCATGGTTTCCCCTCCATTCGCCTTGGGCCACGCGCTAGCACAGGCCAGCAGAATCTTCCATGCATTGGGCATCAATTGCCCCGGTGCTACCTCCAAGCGATTTAGCACGTCAACCACCACTTGAGGCAGTGGCAGCCTCAGCCCCCCTTTTAGCGCCTCCTCGTACAGGGAAAACTCCCCCGGCCTCGCAGTAGACGGCCTTTCCCTTGATGTTGGCAGCAATAACTCCACCTCAGCCATATATTTTTCCCTGATAGCCTCAAATTCGCCGCAAGTTAATGTGGATTTGTCAGCCTTAGTGTGCCACTGATTCGGCTCTACCTGCTTATTGGCCTTGGAGCCAATATCAGGCCAACGCCTGCGATTGTCCCACCGGCCCCCACCCCCACCATTCGTGTCTCCGTCCTATATCGCGCTGCTAGCTCCTCTGCATCATCGTCTCCCAGGAGGTCCACCCTCACATTCACCACTTCTTCTTGTGCCATTTCTAAGGTTTGCTTACGAATCACTTCTGACGCAGGAGCAAGAAAGTTGAGAAAATGTTGCAAAGGTGTGTCGTGCGCAATGAAGGAATCAACACTTGGGTATTTTGAGTTTTTGTAAAAAGGTAGGTGAAACGAATTATACCAAAAACCCACGGTTTACCCGTATTCCATGGATCCAAATTAATTTTTGCCCGTTTAAAAACCTTTCAAATCAATCGCCAAATCCGCCTTTTCAAAACCCCCCCTCGTGACCTATCGTTTCATTTCTGCTCCAACGCTTCACTTCCCCCACGATATTGCCACGTGTATGGCCATGATGCACTGTTCCCTCCCCTTACCCTGTCATTTCCATTTCACATCATCACATAGCACACCCCTCTTTTTTGCGCCCCGCGCCGTCGTGGTCGGCATGCCCCACGCTCGGCCACCCTCACGGTCATCTCCCCCCGCTCAGCCACCCTTGCGGTCGGCACACCTCGCGGTTGGCACGCCTCACGGTCGACCCCTCCCACTCGGCCACCTTTGCGGTCGGCACGCCTCACGGTCGACCCCTCTCGCCCCGCCACCCTTACGGTCGGCGAACCTCACGGTCGACCCTTCCCGCTCGGCCACCCTTGCGGTCGGCACGCCTCACGGTCAACCCCTCCCGCTCGGCCACCCTCACGGTCATCCCCTTCCACTCGGCCACCCTTGCGGTCGGCACGCCTAACGATCGGCCTCTCCGCTCGGTTCGCAACTTCTCTTCCTTATTCCTATTCCCTTCGTTGGACTAAAGCTGCACTCGGAAGTGGGGGACTACTGACATGGATAGGCCCATAAGGCTTACAGCCCACAACAAACAACCCCAAACCCATCGCTTGGGACCCATAGCATAACCTAGCTGGCAAAGCCTAGGACAGCTGGAGGCCATCTGGGCATGGAGGGCCAATGACATTCGGGCACATGGCAGGAGAAACACAGGCCACATCAGCAGACAAAGATCTGTAAAGTTATTACCACAACACATCACCATTAATGCAATCCATCACAGCATTTATTACGACAACACCTCCCCGTCGGAACAGAGCCCCCTCACCCTGAACAAGGTAAGCTACGGCACAGGTTTTCGGCGGAGGGGGGCACGTCGTAAGGGACATTGAAATGATTACCAAAGGATATAAGCAAGAATCGAAGACAAGAGGAAGGTTAAGCTTTTCTATCTCTTCTCTCTCTCTATATTTCCTTCTTCCTCTACTGATTTGTTCGCCGGAGGGTTCACTGGGGGACTACCCCGTTCCCCTTTGGACTTGCTTGCAGGTCATCTGGTGGAATCATCCGCTTGGATCGGAACTTGAAGAGCTTGGACCAACCCGACCCATCCACCCAGGACGAACAGCATCATCAAAAACCATTTACTCGCCGAATAAAAATAATTTTTTTTTTTTTTTACTTTTGGCAACCAAAATTTTGGTCATCAAAAATTTATTTTCAGCAATAAAAAAGAATTTTAATCACCGTATATTGAGTTTTCGCTATTAAAACCATTTAGTCGCCGAATGAAAAAAAAATAATTATTTTTTATCTTTGGCAACTAAAATTTTGGTCGCCAAAAGTTTATTTTTAGCTACAAAAAAGAATTTTAACACCAAAAAACTAGGCTCTGTTTGTTTGTGTTTTTCAAACATGATTCTACATAGTGATTTCAGAATGGTGTTTGGAGCGTGTTTTCAAAACACGTTTCCAAAACTCTGCAGAGTTCTCTACACAAACCACGCTTTTTAGATTTTTTTTTTATCAAAATTTTGCCTTACGGGACGTCTAGCCGGTTGACCGGAATAGTAATTTTTTTTTTGGAAATTGATTTATATAATCGAAAAAAACATTTTCTGAAATTTTTAAATTTTTTTATGTGCTTTAAAATAATTTTGAATTGTATGTTTAGTTATGAATTGTAAATTTTTATATCACATACCAAATGTCACATCAATAATTCCTCACTCAAATCAAAATTCTTTTTAAAACTCTTTACCAAACAAATTTTCTACACTTAAATCATAATTCCACAACACACAAACTCAAAATATAACTCATACTCTCAAATCATATTTACAAAATTCTACCAAACACTACCTAAAATTTTTGAAAAGAGACATTTTAAATATTTTAGAGGAATTTATAAAGGAAAATGTCTCGTAACTCAAATTTTGTGGTTCAAAATTGGCTCAATGGCCAAAACGACGTCGTTTTGACCATTTTTATGTTGTTTTGTACTCAAAACGACGTCGTTTTGACCATTTGAGTCGCTTTTGAGTGACAAAATTTGAGTTACGTAACATTGTCAAATTTATAAAATACTTTCAACGACTAAAAAATTTTAGTGCCAATAACCATCCATACAAAATATCTCACGCTCCCGCCACCGTCGAGTACCCATCTCCGACCAGCCACCGTTGCACACGAGGACCCATCTCTGACTAGCGATAGTACGACATCATATACCGCAGACAGTTGGTATTTCTTCTTCCTCGTCCTCTTCGTCTTCTTCTTCCCCTTCCCCGTCCTCTTTGTTGAATTCACCCCATGTGAAGGGGAAATTGTCTTGTGAACACACCTTGGTTGGTCAACAAGGAAGTAGGCTACCAACCATGTCAAAGAAGGAGGCTGCCGAAGTCAAGCATGGAGGCTACCCAAAGGCACTCCCACCTACTCCAATGTGTATAAATGGAGGGTGAGAGGAGAGGCCAAAATGTGAGTAAGAGAGTGAGGAAGAAAACCGTGAACCAAAGAGTGCGAGAGATGTGAGGCGGAGAGACCGTCTCCCTCGGTGTGAGCGAGGGAGACGGGTGAGTGGCTGAGTGAGGAGAGTGTGAGCTCCTCCTCTATTGTAATCTTTCTGTAATCTCCTCATTGGTATAGTGATAACCGGTTACTCTCCCGTGGACGTAGGCATTGGGCCGAACCACGTAAAATATTGTGTCTCCTTGTGTGTGGGTGTGTTTTTCTGCTTGCAATGATTTCTATAAGGTCTTGGGCGGGATCCCAGATCCCAACACTCTTCCTCTCTCTCTCTCTCTCTCTCTCTCTCTCTCTGAAATTTTTTTGAGTGCAAGCGTTTGAATCTGTGAACAAAAGAGAAGATGAATGAGAGTGCCATGGCGGTCTCAATTTCTGCCCTAAACCTTACTGAATCGGTCTTTTTAATCCCTCCGTAAACGCCCAAATCAGACCTTCAAGATGGGTTGTTGTTTTGGATTCTTATAGATGAATTGTTGCTTTGGATTCTTATAATGTCAAAATAGTTTGTTGTTGTTTTGGATTTGGATTCTTATAACAAATGATTTGTTTTTTTTTCATGCCTTCAAACTGTTTGATAAAATGTCTCTTAGGCTTTTCAAAATTCTAAGCCACAAGCCTAACTTCTTGGCAGTGTAATTGGTGCTCAAACATGTACTAAACCAAGCCCACAACAGCTCCAAATCTTAATCTGTTGAAGCCACTGCCTGCATATTCAAATCTTGATCTGTTAAATCATAAATCATTCATAGTGTTTTCAATTAGCTACTTCTCTAATTTTCCCTCATTTAGTCTTACTATATCAGTTATAATAAATATTGTGCTATTCATCTTAAATTAACTGTCATAGCTAATTGATAAACTCACCGTGTTAGTCACTTTATTAAGTATTTGATATCTTGAGCTAAATTTTCCATTACTTTCTCTGACTTGATTTAGTTGAAACCAGTGCTTATTTCTTTCTATAACTCACAAACTGTTTAGTCAATATTCATTCATTGCATTTTGAGTTAGCTCATCACTAATAGTTGTTTTGCAGCCATAATTTCTGCAAATATAAAGCTTGTGTATTTGAAAATGAGTTTAGTTCAGGATCTTCTGACGGACCCTGAAACTTTTGAAAGTAAAGTAGTGTGAAGTTTTGTGAGAGTCAAATCTGATCCAAATGACTACTTCTAACAAAATTCTTACCAACTTCTGCAAGTTATAGGTACTTTTTTTGTTGCATATAAATGCATGTGTGTTTAAAAATTTGTGTTCATGAGTTCTACTCTTTGAGCACAAAGTTTATACGTGTGATCCATTAGTGGTTAATGAAGCCAGATTTGAAAATGGAATTGATTTACATGATTTTTGTAATTGTGTGGTCCTTGGTGGCATGGTTATGTTAATCGATGAAATTTTATTCAGTATTGAGATTTATATTTTCTATATTAGTTCAATACAATGATAGCAAAAGGTGATGTAAAGAAAATAATAAATGGAACACATCATGAATGATGATTAACATTCAATGAGAATTTTAGTGATTTTGCAGAAGAATATTTGTGGTCTATTTGTCGGATTCATTAGCAACTAGTGATGCAAGGTAGGACTAATATTAGTTTTATAATTTTTTGCTAGGAATTGCAATATTAATTGACAATATGAATCAAAACAATGAGCTTCATCATGTCTAGTGGTTATAGAGATATGACCTTATGTTAGATAGTATTTGAGATCTTATTATTCAGATTACTACTGCTTTTGTTTCTTGAGGTTAACTAATTTAGCTGTTACCTTTATTGCTTAATAATAGTGGTTCCTTGTCTTTTGAATTGGAACCTAATTATTTCTTATTTTGTCATACTATTATTACTAGAATAATCAGATTGTTGCCTAGCCTTGGTGATTGTTAAGAAAAACACAAGGTAAACAAATCAGATTTTGTCTAGGAAGCACGGATACAGATACGGCATACGGATACGATACGATACGGATACGGCGATACGACAAGATTTGAAAAACTAGGATACGGGTACAGCGGGGATACGTTCGTAAAAAATATTATTTTAACAATTTTTAGTAATGCAGTATGCATAAAAATAAAACCTAAAGCAAAAGACAACTTGATAAAGAAGAAAGATTCCTATAAAACTAAGAGTCTTCAAGGTCAATAGCTTCAACTTGTTCCCCTTCATCAGTGAATATCACAAGACCTTAGCTAAAGCCAAAAAACCATTCTTAAATAAAAATTTCAGCAAATATACTTTTTTAAGTCATCAATGATAGCCTAGGAAGCACGGATACAAATATGGTGATATGGGGATGTGGATATGGCGATATGTCAAAACTTGAAAAAGTATGATAGGGGTACAGCCGGGATACATTCGTAAAAAAAAAATTATAATTTTAAAAAAATTTATAATTTATAATTTCAAACATTCATAAAACATCTAAAACTAAAAGCAAAAGCAAATGCAAATTAAACATCATCCTTACATGCCAACATTAAAAAAAGAATGAGAGCAGAGAGAAGAAACGCGAGAAAGTGAGAAAGCAAGAGAGAAGTGAGAGAGACAACAAAGATACATCAATTTGACAAATTCTATTACTTTAACTCTCACTATATTCCTTATGTCAAAGAACTAAACAAAATATTATAAGTAATATGTAACTTCGAGTATCCGATACTTCAAAATTAAGTATCCGATACTTCAAAATTAATAAAAAATTAATTAAGAAGTATCCGATACTTTTAAGAAGTATCCGATACGTATCCGCGAGTATCCGAGGAGTATCGGTATCCGATAAGTATCCGATATGGATACGTCACCCTTTTTGAAGTATCCGTGTTTCATAGGATTTTGTAAACTTTTGGCCTGTTGGGAAAAGGTCTAGGGTACTTATTGAACAAAATAGATTGAGTTGGGATGTGAAAATTGCTCAAGTTACATATTACTTTAAGGGGAAATTAACTACATTCACATTAAGAAAATTGGTTGAATGCCCTTATATGTTAAATATGGAAAGAATGAATTAACAGGATTCAAAAGGCACAAAAACAGAGCTGGACGGAGTCTTGATTACATGTTGAGGTACTTTGTTCACTACTTGGGATTTATATTACTCAAATATATTATTCTTTTGTATTTTATTTTATCTTTCTTGATGTATGCTCTGCTTTTGCATATTGAATTGGCATAAAATTGTGTTTTTCTTTGTTAAGAACCCAATGTTGTTTTCTATTGGTAAACATGGTTGTTTTCATAGATATAGACATTCAGTGCTTCAAGTTGTATATTCTGTTCACAATAGTGAAGGTAGGCTTATCGGGTGCTCCATTTTGTTTGAGTGAGATTCTATTGATATTATGAACATGACGCTTGCTTGCAGTTGTTGAAGTCCTATATACTTTTAGCAACATGTTGAAATTTATTCATGTTGTTAATGGAAAATACAAGAATTGGATGTTGGAAAAGATGGAAAAGTTAGCATGTGGTGCTATTTAAATTTATTCATTTTCGTCATTTGGGATTTTCAATGTTTGCCCTTATTGTACAATATGGTTTATCTATTAAATTCATAATCTTATGAATACTATTGCCATTGCAAGTGGTATAGAAATATGCTTGCAGAAACATGGCATGGCAAAGCTACCATTTAAATTTTCAGCTTTGATTATTTTTTTGTTGTTGTCAAATAAGGAAGCGTGAGAATTTAACTCCATAGACTTGAACCATTCCTAAATTGGTGTGTGTAAGTAGTTTAGTTGGGCCCAAGGCCTTGTGGCCTCTAGCAGCGTGGGGCCAAGACATAAGTGCTTGCAAGGAGAGGTTGGGGGTTCAATTTTCTTAGGTGCTAATCTAAAAACTAACCATTGACATAGTTTAGTTGGAGTTCAAAGGAACTCCTGTTGATTAGGGGCACATGAAGCATTGTTCGATTCTAGTTTAGGAATTGTTGTCTAATGTCTTTTGGTTTTGAGAATTTGTTTATACTTGTAACATGGTTTCATCATCTGAAGCTCTTCTCAGTTTGCCACATTCTGATTTTATCTATCTCTACTTGCTTCAGATTCATCTGCATGCGGGTACATATACAGTACTCAATGTGACCTTCATAAGGGCCCCATCTCATGCTTGTTGAAGGTGAATGTTCCTCTTGTATTTATAGGAGATAATGTTTCACTTGGACTAAAAAAAGGTATGGTGAAAATGGAGGTTTTCTTCAACCTTATGCGTAAGTTGTGAAGTTTTTTTTAGTTAGACAACTTGTGAAGCTTTGCTTTGTCTTATCTTTTTAAACTCTCAAGCAACTTGGGTGTTTATCATTTTTGGTGAGAAATTATCTATTGTTAGGGTTATATATACTACAATTGTGAGTGGTGTGATGATGATTGATGTCTAAGGTTTTGTTAATAATTATATGGCCTTGGCAAAATTTTTTGTTTTCAATTTTATGGAATTTTTTTTTCCTATAGGGCAAATTGATAGAACTTGCTGTTTGATGTATAGTTGGTGTTATTTTAGAAGCAAAGGTTTTCTACTATTGGCTTCTTCATGCATGGATCTCACACACTTCTTAATAATAATGTTCTTCTGTATGCGAGTTTTATTTGTAGAGTTGTTAACTATTGATTTTTATGTGCAGAGGCTTAAGAAGAAGACTCACTTCTTCTAATCCGAGAGAATTACAAATTAATTCATTTCCTAATTATTTTATTTCATTTTTTGGAGGCTGCTGAATACTTTCTTAAACTATTTCTTTGCTATGCTTTACCTGACCTAATTTTGCTGCCGAGTGAAATCTTATTATGTTATCTTCACTTTCAGTGCATCATGTTAACCCATTAAAAGTATTCTAATTTAGTTTTCTTTTTATAATTGTTATAATTTGAAATGTCAATTTTATTGAATAAGTGCTCACTACAAGATATTGCATTTTTGGCGACTAAATTTTTAGTCACTAAAAGTAAGATTTTAGTTGCCAAAAATTTTTTCAGACTAAATATTTTGGTCGCCGGATTTGTCGCGGGAAGATTGTCGGGGAAGGTATTGGCGACTAAAAAATATTTAGTAGTGATCAAATTTTTAGTCGCCAAAAATAAAGGTATTGGTGACAAAAATAATCTTTAGTCGCTGAATAAGGATAAATTTTCAGCTACTAAAATATTTGTCGCCAAAACTTGAAGTATCTACAGCGATCAAAATATTAGTGGCCAATATTTTTTTTATGTGCATCTAGCTTTTTTTTAACTACTAAATGTTTAGTCGCCTAAAGTCTAATTTTTGTTTAAGCTACTAAGGTTTTAGTTGCCAAAAGTGGTTTTCTCCTTTTTTTTTGGCTACGAAACATTTAGTTGCCAAAAGATTTAATTCTTTTTAGCTACTAACTATTTAGTCGCTAAAAATATTTAACTCTATTTTTGGCTACCAATTGTTTAGTCGTCACAAACATCATTTTGTTTATTTTTTTGTTTCAATTAATTTGTCTACAACCTATATGTATCCACCACAACCTATAATAAGTATAACAACAAAACAATATATATATATATATATAATAACACATATTTCACTTACAACCATCAAACAAAAAAGAATAACTTATAATTTTAACTTCTATACAAACCAAGTATATATTCCAATTGGAAATAATAACTTCATACATAACAAATAAGTATACAAAAATCATGTCCTCTTTGTACAAAAATATATGTACTACTATGCGAAATGACCATTTGGCATGGTACATATTACCATGGTAATCTGTACCGCGACAAAAGGTAATCTATAAATCATGACAACAAATACAAATTTGATGTCAAAAGTATTTTGTACCCCACCAAAAGTTATATGTACGATTTATCCAAATTCTACACAAAAAGCAGAGGACGACAAAAAAGTGGGATAGTTCAAAAGTGTAAATTATCCTCCGACACAAAAATAGAAGATCCACATGTCTATGCCAAAATTCATCTATAAAACAAAAATTACACCCATTAGCTCCATATAGCATTTGAATCTTATTTCTATGCCAAAAAAAGTTATTAGATCTGTAAAGGGATTTTTTTTTTAATTATTTTTGGTTGAGGTGTATATGTAGTTTCATCCTTGCAATCATAATATTTTGAAAATGAAATTAACATTACTGAAATGTTAAGAATCTAAATAACACAAAGTGCACAGAGTACAAGTCCAATTCGCCTCTAAAAAAATGACAACCAATGTAAGGTTGTGCAGCATATATTTCCAGCAGTAATGAGGAAAAATTTAGCCCCCAAAAAATTACAATTAATGTAAGGTTGTGAAGCATATTCAATAGTAATGAGAAAAAATTTAGCCCCTAAAAAATGACAATTATGTAAGGTTGTGCAACATATTCAACAATTATGAGAAAAAATTTAGCCCTTGAAAAATGACAATCAATGTAAGGTTGTGCAGCATATTCAGCAGTAATGACATAAAATTTCTCTGTGAAATTACTTGGCAATGCTTATTTGTCAAACCAGAATGTGATTAAAGGTCAACCATAAGGTTAAATTGGGCCTACAAATCAGGTATGTTTCTCTTCAGCTTGGTTCTTTATGACTCAGTTTGGTTGTCACATTTAGCAAAAATGTCACGTTGTTGAATAAATGTTTTAATGTACTTAGAGATCATTGAAATGGTTTTGCTTATTGCATATAAGCTATGAAAATGCAATAAATTAGGCAATTGATTAGTCAATCCAAACCGCCTAGAATCTTATAAATGGACCTATCTATATGATCATTTTCATCATTGAAATGGTTTGGCGTTGCTTTACATTTTCGCCCCTCAAACGGCCTTTTTTGACTAAGTTTAAGTTGTTTTTCACTGAAACTCCCAACTACATGTGCTAATTACATCCCGCCTGTCCCCAAATGTCCTATTTGTCACGAGGAAGCTACTTGTGACATCCATAGAGGGATTGCTGCTTTGCTTTTTTGGCCTCGAACGACCTTTTTCGACTAAATTTAAGGTGTTTTTCACGCCAATTCCCAATCTACGTGTGCTAATTACATCTTGTCTGTCCCCACAGGTCCTATTTGTCACGAGGAACCTACACGTGACATCCATAGAGGGGTTTGGGGGCTGCCTTGCATTTTCGCCCTCGAACGGCCTTTTTCAACTAATTATACGGCATTTTTCACATCAACTCCCAACCTACGTGTGCTAATTACATCTTGTCTGTCCTTATAGATCCTATTTGTCACAAGGAAGCTACCCGTGACATCTATAGAGGGGTTCGGGGGCTGCTTTGTATTTTCAGCCCCAAACGGCCTTTTTTGACTAAGTTTACGGCGTTTTCTATGCCAACTCCCAACCTACGTATGCTAATTACATCTCGTCTGTTCCCACAGGTCTTATTTTTCATGATGAAGCTACCTGATACATCCATAATGTGGTTCGAGGGCTGATTTGCATTTTCTCTCTCGAACGGCATTTTTTGACTAAGTTTAAGTTTTTTTTTTTACTCAAACTCCCAACCTATGTGTGCTAATTACATTCCGTCTGTCCCTACAAGTCATATTTGTCACGATAAAGCTACCCGTTACATCCAAAGAGCCTTCTAACATGAAATTGTCAGTGTGTTATATTGATGCTATTTACAGTAGATTTTTCGCTTGCAGCAACCAAAACTTGCACAACATGAGTCAAACGGCTATGTGAAGGTCAAGCATCAGCCATTGTGTTGAAGGTTCAGAATTGGCAGAAGCAAGGATCTTATCACACTGATCAGCAGTGAAAATATCTGGTTATGCTTGGTGATGAATACTTGAGTGGTTCTATGTAGGGTATGCGGGTGTGAAAGAGAGCTTGTGTGTGGAAATTTGCCCCTTTTGGGGTAGGTCGGATTGCCATCTCCAACCATCACTCCACCCCTCGTCCAAAGGCAAAAAAGAAGGGGAGAACAACAACTACAACTGAAATAATTTGTTTAATAAGAACCAACATCTGGAATAAATTAAATGCAACAGACTTTTCCTTTAGCATTTACTGTTTTTCTTCTAGAGCATGCAATTAGCAGGTTTGCCTCTAATGCAAAAAGGATAACCCGACATAAAGTCAACAAAGTGAACTACATCTTAGATTGCAACTTGAATGACGCAGTAACAGTTGCACTTGGGAAACACAATTCTCTGCTTCCTTTGAGGCAAGTTGGGTGTACAAATCGCTCAAATAGTGCAGACAACAAAAAGTACCTTAATGAGCTTCAACTCCAATAGCCCAGTGATTAAGCAGTAGGTTTATCTGAATCCCTTGCTTAGAAGTTAGAATAAGATTAGCTATTTGAAATGTAAGACCATGTCTTTTCATCACCAGATGAGGTTTATTAAATTATTATCCTCTATGGCCTGAGTTTACAATTGTGGAAACATGCAAGTTGTAAAAAAATGACCATGATAAAGCATGCAATACATCTTTCCTATTTGCCTGGCATGGGCTATAGAACAAATTGAGGTAATATAAAACAAGGAAAGGACATACATAACAGGTATGATGCCATGAGAAAAGATTGCAGACTATGACTTAACACAAGATATGCTATATGGTGAAAAATGAAATATAAGTTATATGACCAATTTGAAACATAAAAAAGTAAAAAGGCTTTGTGCAATTAACTGGTGTTTCTTAATTAGACTTCAAAGTTCCCATGAACAGTAGTAAGTTACTGAACTTTACTGTAAAAGGCCACTACCTAGAATAATTGTGGGAATCTCTAGTTATCTAGAATGGTCCCCAATCTAAATCATCAAGCTTTTACAAGTCTAAGGTAAGGATCTTAGGAGTTCCACAGTTGATGTTAGTTAACTATACCTTCTTTTTTCCCTGATTATTCTTCTTAGTTTATAGTCTTACCCATCTGCCTTCTCTTTTTCCCTTTTTCTTTTTTTCCCCTTCATTTTTTGATGTCCGTTGCAGACCAAATAGTCTCCATACAAAATAAATGTAAAAGCAAAAAACAAACAAAAAAACACAATAACCTTAATGAACCAACACCAATCTCTATTCAATATCCAATCCTTTATAACCTTAGTGAGAGCAGTACATGAAAGAACAAAAGTAGGTAGATAAAAGAAATATTTGCCAGATTAAGGAGACGGCAACTTCTGGAGTACTAGTCCAGTTTCATGAGTTGAACTCCCAACATCATTTAGGAACATGGCCATTTAATAACAAGAATATAAAAATAATATGAATTAAAGGGGTAGCACCGTATTAATAAAACAAACCTTTGACTAATTGTCTACCCAGAATAAAAATTCAAAGGAGAAGAATATAATAATCATAAACAAACAAGCCCTCTAAACCAAAAGCTTACAAATAAAGTTTGTAGCAAATTGACTATAAGAAGGCCTACCAAATAAAGCTTGCAAATTGGACAATAACAAGTATCAACAAGTATCTATGTTGTTAATTGCTTGACCATATTCAGAGCATATTTTGCTATATTAGTAATGCCATTCAATTGGATGGGGCTCCTAATTTAGTGACTTACCTCATATTCATAAGCTCATCCTACTCAATTATGGAAAAGTGTATATTTCATTGAAATCATGTAGTTATCTTATGGAAATCAGAATGAAGTCCTTTGGAGTAATGAAACACCAGGTCCTCTGCTGCTAAGTCTACTAACATTACGCCTCAAAACCTATTCGAAGCATAAAAAAAAAAATAAATAAATAACGAACAAAACCCATAATCAACATTGTAATAGGTTTGAATAGGAACCTTAGAAGACAATTCTAAGTTCATCATACACAATATTAATGTCAATATGATGAATTTTGTGTAGAACTTTTAGTACCACATCAATAAACCTCTTCTTACCTTTTAGTAGGATGACCATCTGAACCCTGCAAGAGGGTTGTGAGCCGTGAGTGACTGTATTTCCTCATGTGTGAGTATGACTACCACCTCTTTTGTAGTTGAAAAGGAAGATAAATGGAAAAAAATGCTTCCAACAATGATTAAGCAGTTAAAAAGGAGATGTTAGCTTCTCCGGAACTATACATAGTAAGAAATTTGTCTCTATGTTGAAAAGAAGCAAACAAGGTTATTGGTCCAAATTAAACATGGTAATCCGTGTGACATTTTCAACATGCTTCGTATTTTGCTGGGACTTTGCAGTGCACCATAGGTAGTATCGGAGGAGACTTAAAAGCCATAAAGCTAAAGATTTTATTTGAAAAACAAATTAATTTTGTGTGCACTTCTCGTTTTATATCCTATAAATAAATAAATAAATAAATAAAAAAGAAAAAGAAAAAACCATAAGCATAATTGCCCTAAATTCGTGTGTGTTCGTGAAATAACTTGAGTCTAGGAAAAAAATTTAGAACTGCTTGGCAGTAAGATTTTTGTTCTAAAACAATTTGCAAATTGGTAAAAAAAACAAAATTACATGTCAAGCCTAAATAAACAAATTTACATAATTAGCTATTAAAATTAAGAAATCCTCAAATCAAGCTCAAATAAAATGAATCAAATCTCATTCTTCCAACCATATGTCACAAATGTGCAATGAATGCTAAGTTTCAACAATAAGCTCTGCACATACTACTTTTGTCCATGTAATTCTTCCGCAAGTTTTTATGCACTTGTTCAGCCAATGTTAGTGTTTCTAAAAGTATATCAGTGTCTTAGGTGTGTTTCTAATAGCATATCAGGTCTTAGGCTGCTTAGGACTCCTCCATAAGCCTCTCATGACTTCTCAAGACTACAAACTTCTCTCTTGAGGCTCCCAAATGCTTTATCTTTGCTACAACCTAGATGTTGAGGTTTGAACAACTTTATATATCTAAAATTTATTCAAGTAACCTCTATATCAAGCTTTTTTCGGCCTTTAAAATGTATAAACTCACACTTAAGACTCAAGTGCCTCACCTTTAGCCCACTCTAGTTGTTTTCATCTAAGACCAATGCAACTTATTTCAGCATTACTCAGTATTCAGGGACGGAACCAGGATTCATATACGGAGGGGGCCAAGACCAGGCACATATATATGGGTTAGACTAAGCAATGGTGGTTTTAAACTATTAATTTTTTGTCTAAGCAACTCTCAATAGGGCATGTTTGGTCGTCAGATCATTTTTTTAAAAATCAAATATAAACAAAATTATTGATTATGATTGATATTTGCAGTGCTAGTGCCTTGGCAGGGACCATAATTTCATACAAATCAAACACAATAACCCATAATTTTGGACATCAAGAATAAACCCATTTTGAACGTCAAGAATAACATAATTTCATACAAATCAAACACAAAGTACCCATAATTTCACAAAACTATAATCAAACCCACAAAACTAAAATCAAACCCATTTTGGACATTAAGAATAACATACAAATCAAACACTTCAACCAAACTCATTTACGAAATCAACACAAAAGTAAACTACAAAAATCATATAAACTCTAGAGGAAGTGTGAGAGATGGGGAAATACGGGAAGGTAGAGAGAGAGAGAGATGGATCGAGAGGGACAGACTCAGATTGACAGAGAGGGAGAGGACCGAGAGTGACAGAGACAGAGAGACAAAAACCTGCTATTTGCGGCAATAGCGGTGGTGACGTGCGACGGTGGAAAACAACGGTGGCCAGCGACGCACAACGGTAGAGCGGGCGTCAGGTTTGATGGTCCAGTGGTCTGTGAGTGGTCCGTGTGTTTATGAGTGGTCTGTATGTGTGTGAAACAAATGGGAGGGCACCAATATATTTAAGCTTCCCTAAAAAGAATTTCCTACCTTTGGCGACTAAACTACAATTTGTCGCCAAATAATAGTCAATAACGACAAAAGTTTTTGTAGCTATTTGATGAATTTGGAAACTAAATATTTCTTTTGTCGGCAAAAACTAATTGAACAACGACTAAATTTTTTTAGTCATTGATAGTATATATTTTCCAACTAAATTATTTGGTCGACAAAGAGTTCCCCAATAAATAAGCCAATTTTTTAGCGACTAAAACTTTTTTGGTCGGCAAAAGACTGTGTACGCTGACTAAAAATTTTTTTAGTCGCTTATTTTCATATTTGTAGCAACCAAATTTAATTTTAGTCGCCAATAACTAATATATGGCTACTAAAAAATTTTAGTAGCTAAAAGTGCACAACATTGCCGACCAATAGGAAAATTAGTCGGTAAAGGTTTGACTTTTGGCTACCAAAAAAGTTTTAGTCGCCAAATTTGGTCGCCAAAGATGCATTTTGTTGTAGTGGCTAATAGTTTTTTTTTTTTTTTTTTTTTTTTTTTTTTTTTACAAATTGCTTTTGTGTGGGCTATTGTGATATTTATTTTTGTGTGCGAAAAGCATTTGTTCTGTATATGAAAGACATTTATTTTTCTACAATCCTCGATTTTGGAAATCCAGTGTTTTTGTACGTAATATTTAATTTAGATGGATTATACTTGGTTGGTGAAGATTTATATGATATTTGAAATATGATGTTACAAATTAAAATTTTTTGATAGTTAACAATGAAATGTGTATTATTGATAATGGATTTAGATGATAATTGATAGATGTATTATTCTGTATGTGTAAGGTTACTGGTTTCATTGATAATTAATGCACATAATTTAGAAATTAATGAAAAATATTCAATTTATGCATTTTAAAAAAAATTAATAAATAGAGCTTTTGGCGACCAAACATTTAGTAGCCAAAAAATAAAAAAGGAACTTGTTGGCGACTAAATAGTTGGTAGCCAAAAAAAATAAAAGTGTTTTGAGACTAAAAAATTAGTAGCTAGAAAGGACCACCATGATTTTAGAGACTAAAAAATTAGTAGCCAAAAAGGAGTGCCAATCACTAAAACAAAAAAGCGCATTTATTGAAAACTTTGGACGACTAAATTTGTAGTAGCCAATTGCCGATTTCGGCAACTAAAAAAAATTAGTCAGCAATACATTTCCTATTGGCAACTAATTGTTTAGTCACCAGATTAGGACTTTTGGTGACTAAATATTTTTTAGTCGCCAATATCTTCCCGACAATCTTCTCCCGACCATGCTGGCGACCAAACTATTTAGTCGGAAAAACTTTTCAGAGACTAAAATTTAACTTTTGACGCCGAAAAATTTAATCGTCAAAATTACAATTTCTTGTAGTGACTGTACATTACCGGAATTCAGATAATTTATCCATTTTCATGCACTTTTCTCCGTTCCCTTAAATCTGATAGGTTTAAAATATTATCTTTGTTGATATGTACAATTCATAAACCAATAACATGTAAGGGAGCAGCAGAGAATGAAATATAGAAGGGAATATGATATCTTGATTCGCATTACAGGATGTTTTATAACAAAATAATATTATACCTACAGAAATTTTTTTTGATCATAATTAAAGAAAAAATAACACAATTAAAGAGACATGGTAACATGGTTGTATTTTAGAATTCTCCTTTTATTTGATATTCATATTATGAATTGTAATATTATATATCAATAAATATATAAATAAGGAATACTTACGTGTAGGTCCTAATAAGTAGATTTATTGTCTAATAGGTTTTATGGGAAAATTTTTTCATAAAAAAATATAATTAATTGTAAGTTTTAGTGATAATTTATAAAAATCATAACAAAAAAAAGTCACTAAATGTCAATTTTTAGTGACATTTATAAAAAATTGTCACAAAAAAATTATTTTTAGTGATAATTTTACCAAGGCTTATTTTTAATAGGACTTAATAAAAATTAAGTCAAACTATTAAGATTTATTGATAATTTGCCCTATAAATAAAAAACAAAACTGTTTGCTTTGTTAAATGAAAGAAAATTGATTCCTTTTAGTCACCGGAAGATGCTAGTCATACAGTAAAATGTTTATAGGTTATTACTAATCTATACTATATATTAAGTAAAAAGAGATTTTTAACCCTAAGGCCTGTGAGAGCTCCAATCACTTAATCCTAATTTTTTAATTTTTTGATTTAAAAAAAAAAATCTCAGCATTTATTAACTTCTCCCAACCCAACCTCAGCATTTATTGACTTCTCACAACCCACAATCCCTTTTGACTTCTCTCATAATTATTGCAACACCCGTTTCAATTTCTCCCATATCGTTTACACACAAAAATAAAAGAAAGATAAGAATTTAACTATAGATCTCAAAAAGATATAACATCTAAATTTGAATTATGATTTAATAATATAATTATGTATTTTTTTTATGTATATCTATCAAAATTTTAAATCACTTAATGGGACAAATCAAAATTTCAAAATTATTGATTTTTAATTTACAAAATAGATTAAAAAAAACTATTGACTGATTTATTTATTTAATAGCAAAAATATTTCATAATCTCTCCCTCCTAATCTCTCTCACAAATTTTCAAAAAAAAATATTAAAACTTCCATTCATTTTCTCTTCTCCAAAAAATCAGATAATATTTTTTTATTAAAATTGTAGATATCTACCTATATTTTATATATTATATTATAACATAACAAAAAAAACTAAAAAACTAAAAAAAAAAATCTTTAAAGTTTATCTAAATAAATTTTAAATCAATAAAACTCACATGTATATCACATATCTAACTCACATTATAACTTACCTAAATAATAATAATTAAAAACAAATAAAAACCACAGATAAATTAAATTTAAAAAAAAGATATCCACAACTCCGTCTTAAAAAAATTGGGAAAAAAAAAAACTCAAATAGAAACCACACAAAAATAAAAATAAAAATAAAAAGATATATGTATCTCTATCTATACTATATATTAAGCAAAATGGGGGTTTTAACCCCAAGCCTTGTGGGAGCTCCAATCTCCTAATCTAAATTTTCTGATTTTTTGATTTAACAAAAAAAAATCTTAGCATTTATTAACTTCTCCCAACTCCCAAGTCTTACCTTCATAATAACACTTTAATGCATTAAAAACAAGCATAAAAAAAATTCTTTGAAATCCAACACATATGAATTCCTTGAAAAGTCCCAATACATATGATTATTATCCCTTATAATAACACTTTAATGCATTAAGAACAAGCACAAAAAAAATTTCTTGAAAAGTCCAACACATATGATTATTATCAAAATATTAAACTTTATTATAATATAATAAAAAAACATTTAATTCCTTGAAAAGTCCAACATATATGATTATTATCAAAATATTAAACTTTAATATAATATAAAAAAGGAAAAAAAGAAAATATTTTAAAAAAAAATATTTAAAAATCACAATTCATATATATAGATAATTGTAAATGCAATCCGTGCATAGCACGGGTGATATGCTAGTTAATTATTATAACAAAAAGGGGATTTAAACTAAAGACCTCGTTTAGAAACATCACATCTTAGTTTAAAAATTAAAAAATTATTAAAAAAGTTAAAAGTTCAACAAATTATAAAAACAAATCAAAATTTTCATTTTCTCTTTACTTTTTGCATATTTTTTCCTAAAAAATTAAAAAATCATTCCAAATATAATAATTTTTTTCCTCATATTTTAACCAAAAAATTAAAAAAATTACTAAAATAACTTGTTCCAAAATGAAACATAAAATTTATATATAAAATACATTTACAATTATGTGTCAATAACATTATAAAATTATAAGGAGAATACTAAATGTATGTTTTATTTAAAAAAAAAAATCATAAAAACATAATCATTTTATATATAAATAAAAATTTTGTTGGTATAAGATTCCTCTAAATAAAAATATCCTCAAAGGCACTAAAAAGGAGCGTGGACTTGTCGTTTTTTTCTCTTATCCTCAAAAGCACAAATAATCCTTTAATCTGGGCCAAGTTCATAATAAAATAAAAATCCTCATTTTAATTCTCTCTCTCAATTTCCTCATATAGAGGTGAGGATTAGGGTTTGGATTTGAGTATATATTTCGGGTTTGGATAGGGAAGATAGTAGCAGTAGTAGTAATAATGACAGCTCCAAACATGGCGATAATCACAGCATTGTTAGAGAGATCTCTGCAAAACTGTTCTCTATACAGCAACATCGCCGATGACACAGACGCAGGTGGTGGTGTTGGGTTCTCATCATCATCATCATCCTCAGATTCGCCTGAAAATCATCTCTCTAAGTCCCACGATGCCATCTTAGACCTCAATTCTCACCTTTCTCTCCCTTATTATTGGGAACAATGTCTCGATCTAAAGGTACACTTCTCTCGCATATATATACATATATTCTCTTTTTCAGCTTCCATTAAATGCAAATTCCATATTAGAGATCTCTCTCTTGTTTGCTCTTCTTAAATGCCGTTTCTTTATTGCCCTTGTCCTCATTTAAGTCTTCCTATCTCCTTTTTCCACCTCACAGCCAAATCCTAAAAAGTTTCTCCCTTCAGTATCTATTTTCTTCCCCAGAAAAAGCTAAGAGCCTAGAAAAAGCGAAGAAAAAAAAAAACACTTTCTGGGTTGAACCATTCAATAGTTTTCTTTTATGAGTTTTCATTTTCCTTACCCCAGAAAAGAAAAACTTTTTCTGGGTAGAACCATTCCATACTTTTCTTTGATGGGTTTTTTATTTTGCTTATTATTTTGACTAGGCTACATTGTTGAGAGCCTTTTAAATCACAAGCTTTTTTTTAAAAAAAAAAACAAAAAACTTTCCTCACTATCTAATATGTTGATCCATAGATTGATTGTATTGGGTTCTGTAATCGGTTTCTATGTATGTTGTTAGAATTCCAGTTTTTAATCTTTCCTTCATAGCTAGTATGTTGGTTTTGTAGTTCAACACCATTGATGATTACAATTTGTTATTGTTGTTGCAGACTGGTGAGATATATTACATAAACTGGAGGACAGGGATGAAAGCAAAAGAGGATCCCAGGACAGCAGCAGTGACGGCGGCGGAGTACTGGGGTAACTTTTATTCAGAAGAAGAAGATAGCTCTTGCGATAGTGAAGGGTCATCATCTGAGTCTTCACCATCATCTTCTTCAAGAGATCAACAATACCATCATCATCATCATCATCATCATCATCATCATCGGAGAGAGGATGGTGAGAAAGATGACCATGTACTGGTGGTTGCGGGTTGCAAGAGCTGTCTAATGTATTTCATGGTCCCCAAACAAGTCGGAGCTGTTTGCCCCAAATGTTGTGGTCAACTGCTCCATTTTGATCGATCTGAAAATGGGTGTCCATGATTAATTTCAATTTATGAGATCTATCTCATCTCATCTGATTTTTCCTTTTTCTTTATTACCTATCTTTTTGAATCTTTTCATCATCTATGTTGTCTGAGAGATTTTCAGTGTAGTGGATTGATGAAATGAGACAAATGATGAGTTTTATTAATCTTCTTTACTGTGATTTCATTCTTCTTTTATTCTTTTTAAAATTTTTGTTTCTGGGAAGGCCATCCATCTATTTTTTTTTCTTTCTTTCTTATTACTTATTTATTTCTTTATCAAGATTTAATTCCATCCGATTTAAAAATCCTGCAAATTCCATTTTATGCTTCTCTGAGTGTCTGACAATGTTTGGAGTATAATCTTCTAAAATAATGCCACTGATAATGTCTGAATCTGTGTATATATTAATTTTTTATTGCTAAAATAAATTACTGAATATTGTTATACAAATAATATTTTTACGTAGAATGATATGAATTTTGTTTTCTTTTCATTTCAAAATAAAACTTACCCATTTCTTTTTTTTTTTTTTGTATAAATCTTTTTTCACACCCAGTCCTCTTGCCATACCCTAGGCAAGTTCAATTTTTAAATAGAGGCGAGTTATTTTTGAACTTCAATGAAGGGCAAGTTAATATAATTGTTGTAGTAAATTGAACCATAAGCCTGGAATGTGACACACCCCCAGCTTTATATTGATCCGAACACAAGTACAAAAAGTCTATTTATAATTTGTAACAAGCTGAAAATTAATAATCAAAAAAATTGAAATTATACTCCAAAACACAGAGACATTGAAACACCAAACACATGATTTTGAAGTTTTTATTTTTTATTTTTAAATAGAAAACTTTATAAAATAAAACTAACAGGTTACAAGTTTAGGGTATTCAACATCCCTACCAACAAAGGATTTTCTAGTTTCATAGTTCCATAGTTAAAAATAAAAGAAAAGAAAAGAAAAGAAAAGAAGAAGAAGAAGAAGAAGAAGAAGAAGAAGAAGAAGAAGAAGAACACCTCCCTGAACAAAGAAGAAAAGGATGAAGAAATGGAATGCATGTAAAAAATATTGATGACTCTTTAACTATGGAACATATGCTAACTTCAAGAAACCTCCCTCAACTTTCTTTTCTTAAGTTATGCCAAATACACCCTAACAAAAAAAATTCTAAAATATAAGAAAGAAAAGTTAAAAAAATCATAATAAATTACCCCAAATGAAACTAGTGTCACCGTTGAAGTCAATGGACCTTTTTAGATTAATAATTTGTAATAAGAAAATTTCTATTTGTAAAAAAGAAAATTATATGGTGATATATATCAACAGCCTTTTTTTTATTATCAAATACAATTTGATAATAACTCACCTTCTTTATATTTTGTTTTATTTTTTCTGCCGGCTGCCACAAACTTTTCCTTCGTTCTCCTTCGTACAATAATAATGTTTAAAGTCAAAAGGCTATAATTCCACCCACCCTCCACTAACAATCAAAATATCATCATTATAACAGGGTTGACCCCCTTTTGCTTGTCCCATTTTATAATCAGATTATACGTGCTTAAATTTTTTAGTTGGATTTGACCTGTAAGTGATTAGAGGTGACTCCATTATTAAATTATTTAATTTTTAATTTCAGATTTTCAAAATTTTTTAATTTTTTTTAATTATTAAAGATTTTAATTTTTTAAAAATCCAATAAAATAAGACATCTATTTAAATTTTTTGACTTATGATCACAAAAAAACCTTCGACCACTAAGCCTATTTTAAGAAAGGAAGACCTGACTAAACTTGAGGTGAGCAATATCAAAACAATATTGAAATGAAGATGGCTCTTTTATTCAAAATCAATTGGGTGCGTGTCAACTTGTGACTCTTCTCTTGGTTGGACCGTCTCTTTTAATTTAATTAATTTAATAACATATGTTTGTTTGTATGTTTCCGTTAAGTTCCAGCTAATAAATCATTCACATTCTACGACATTTCCTATGATTTTTGCTTCTCTTTATAAAGAAGCTTGTGTACAACACTTCTTTAATTTATTGAGGGAAGAAGTCAATACCAAAGTATGGGCTCCTCAGTGGTATTTTGGAAAGTTGATAAAAAATTATTTTTTTAATTTTTTGATTTTTTTGGCAAAAAATTAGGTTTTTGGGTAAAAAAGCTGATTTTTTTGGCTAAAAAATCAAAAAATTGACTTTTTCAGTCTCTTCCCAAAGTGCCCCTCAATTTTGGGGCACACCTCTCTGTCCATTATTTTTTTAATATAATTACTTAGATTCAAAAGTTAAATCCACTTTATAGACATAATAATGTATCAACAAGATGATTAATTAATAATTAAATATTCTCTAATTATTAACTAATTATCTTTTTGACACATCATTAGATCTATAATGTGAGCATTGAATTGAATAATTTTTCTTATTTTTTTGGGGGTCAATGAGTAAGAAATTATTTATAAATATTATTAAAAGCACATTGAATTGAATAATTAATTTTTGTAAAAAAGTTTAACAACACATACCACCAACAACCACATCCATATTAAATAATTAAATAAAAAAACTTTTTAAAAAAAGTTTATAATAGAAAAGAAATAATTACTAGGGTAAATTATACTTTCTAGCTTTGAACTTTTATTTGAATTTTACTTTGATTTCTTATTTTCCAGTTATAACAATTAAATTTTCCAAATTTAACCTATATTTCTAGGTGATTTTATTGTTACCCTACAGTTTAAAATTAGAGTGAAAATTAAAATTTAAAGAATTAAAATAAAATTTGAGTAATATTTATTTCATACATAAATTTTATGAGAATTTTTTTTAATATTCTTGATATTAAGATTTTATAAGATAAATGACATATAATATTTTCATAATAGATTAAGGTTCATCAATATTTTCACAGAGAAATTTTGCCCAATTCAGAAAAATTTTGCTCGATTAAAAAAAATTTCAATTTTTCTTTGTGATCATACTAGAGAAATTTCAAAATTTCTTTAAGTTAGGGCCGAAATTTTTTTTTGAGTCAGGCGAAATTTCTCTGAATTGAATTTTCTCAGTAAAAATATTGAAGAAGCTTAACTAAATAAAAAATATATCTTGAATCTCTCATATAATACAAAATTAAAGAAAAATGTTTCACTAATTTTCATCAAATTTTATGCACATATTTATATTTCTACTGTAACCAAATTAGCCACCATGTACATGCAGTTCTTGTTGACCATTTATCCCAATAAACAGTGAAAACAAAAACAAGGCAGAAACGAAAAGAAACATAATACAGAACAGTGGAATATAAAAGGGAATATTTTGATCAGCTTTATTTTGTTGGAAAAAGGACACAAACACGGGGGAAAGGTCACTGACTCACTGCTCACCCTTCTATGATTAAGTTATTATTATTTTCAAAGTGTTCCCACTTCCCCACCACTGTTTTTGACCTTGTGTGGGCCACTGAAATATTGTTTCATTTAAAAAAAAAAAATTATATGCTTAGAAAAATAACAGAATAAATGTCAAAATTTAAATATATATTAGATTTAAATTTAATAAGATACGAGTCGTGTTCAAAAATAATAATTTAACCCACACAGTTAAAAATATTAATTTTTTTAATATACTTTTTTAAAGTGATAATTAGATTTTTTTTGGTTGAACTTTTTTCAAATTTAAATTTAAATTTATAAAAAAAATGAGTGGCCCATGTAATCTATCATGATTCCTATTTAATAATCTGAAATATTTATTTTATAGAGTTTTCCTTATTTATAAAAAAAATTAGATCAATCTAATAATTATAATATTTTTATTTTTATTTTTACTGTGTTTATTTTCAAAAAATAAATGATTTATTTTTAAAAAATATACTTATCGCTCATATTTTTTTAAAACAAATACTATAAAATAAAAGTTACGATTATTGTATCAATCTAATTTTTTTTGATCATTTTATTTTAAATCAAAACACTCCGTATTGTAACTTTATACTTGCAAATTTATCACTACTACATAAACCAGACATATATAAATTTTGTTTGAAAATAATTTTATTTTTGGTATATATATATATATATATATAGTATTATTAATTAAAGGGTAAATCACACTTTTTACCTTTAAAATTGAACTCAAATTTTACATTGGTCTCTATTGTTTTAATTTGAATAATTTAATTCCTACACTATAAACTTAATTTCAATTTGATTATTCAGTCTAAAATTTGGTTAATTATTTTTTCTTTGTGTACAATTTGAACAAAATAACCAAATTAAAAAAAAAATTTAAGTGTAAAAATCCAACTGTTTAATTTAAAATAACATAGATAAAAGTAAAATTAAATTAAAAGAGAAATTTACCGTGAATTAAAGAAGCAAATTTGAATCCCATGGCAACAGGTGGAACTGGTAGGGACAGAGGTAGGAAGAAATTAAAGGTGGAAATGAGAAGGGAAGATCATTATCATGGAAGCTGGCCTATACAGTTTGCGACCAAATGGTGCCCCCTGTCGTTGCAATTCTGTCTCTCCTCCTCTCAACTTAGTCTTAGCCAAGGTTTTAAAAAGCGGTCGCAACCGTTACGTAACGCCGTTACGTAACGGTTTTGGCAGTTACCGCCACCCGTTACGGCCGCTTTTGCAGTGTGATTGAGATTCACAGGTGTGTTGGCCGTAACGGCTACCGTAGCGGTCGTAACGGCCTGATACACGCCGTTACGTAACGGTTCTAAACAGTTTCTTTCGAAAAAACACAAAAAAAAAAAAAGTTGAAAGTGGGGGAAGAGGGATAGAGAGAAGAGGGAAGCTTTACAGTTATCCAAGGTCAATCAAAAGTCTTCAGGAATTTAAAGCGGATCCAGACACTGATTCCCAAGTCAACAAGGATAACAACAAAGCAATCAACCACACGACATACGTAACTCATATATCCCCGTAGTACTAATTGTAAAGCACAATAACATCGAAGCAGTCCACTTCTAACATAATACACGTGTTCTCAATAAGCCATTAATTATTAAAATAAAATGTAAAAAACTCAATTTATAGTGATTTAAAAATATGAAATATATTGGATCATACTTAAAAATTTATAAAAATTGATCAATATTTATTTTTAACCCAATAAATATGATCATGGAAAAAAAATATGCGTATCGG